ACCGAGATCGTTCCCAATTCATTGACGGGTGCATTTAACCTCCTCCTGCCTGCTGCGAATGGTTTTTGCATCCCCATAATCTTGCATGGGGGAAGCAAAACCCGTCAGATACAAGGACCCATCAACAGGCCCCCGAAACTGTAACTCTCTCCCACAGCATCGGGCAGCTTCCTCCGATCTGTTGGCCGAATATCCATCCTGCAATCTTCCCTTACCGACTCTCTTGCTGTACGGTGAGACATATTCACGATTTTCTGAACGGTCATAAACAAAACGCAGACAGCAAGTCAGAGTAAATATCTTTAATACCATTTTACATACAAGGTATCCGAAAACCATAAAATGATTAGAAAGCTGAAAATATATTTACATAAAAGTACAGAACCCTCCCAACTTCTTACAGATCATTAAGAATACATTTCATGAAACGGGGTTTTCCTATTCCACTGTACAAAAAAAAAATGTGTAAGGCCCTCTCACTCTAGGACTTCAGTGCAACAGCGGGGGCGTTGGGGGGAGAGTGGTGAAGTCCTCCCCCTCCCCCTCTCAATGAGCTGCCCACTTAGCCCAATATTACCCCCAAGATTGGCTTGTCGCTCACCTAACAGAAGCCAGCAAGGGCTAAATCACTCCGGAGCACGGCTGGCCCCCTTTTCGGGTCCTCCGCCCTCGCTGTTGCACGTGACGTTAAAAAAAAGTGTTACACTTTTTTTTTAGTCGTAATGGAACATCCCTTTAAAAATACCCAGAAACGGAACACTGTGATGAAGAAGAAAAAACCAATCCATTTCCACAAAATGGATACAACTTAAAAATTAAACTTCTCGGTACAACAGAAAACAGGTACAGTTCATCAAAAAGCAAAAAATAAAAGCAAAAAAGGCAATCCATCTTCACAACCGTCTCCGACAAATAATATCATATGCAAATGTCATTCCTAACTTATCCCTTCCTATTGGAGAATGGAACTGACCTTTGAATACTCAAGAAATATGGCACAAAAAGAGGTAAAGGGATGGATGGCGTCAGCGACGTTTCATGTAACGCAAGTCTTGCGGCGAGTTATTACAAAATAGGACATTTGTGCAGGTCACAAATATATACACAGCGCTCTCCGAGAGCGTCGTCATCAACACTATTCATAGACTGGATCGAGGCGGCCTGGGTGTAATACTCTACCTGCCTCTGAAGCCCAATGTGTAGATCTGGCGCCGTCATAGATCGGCTAGGGCTGCAGAATTCAGAGTCAGCAGAAGAAGAGCGGGAACCCGACACAGTTACCATTTTACCATTACAATTCTCCTCAGCCAGCCTTGTGATCCCCACACGCCCCTGCCGGTGGCTCGGAACCATTATTCACACTTGTAGCTTCCTCGGTCACCGCTCATCCATCTCTTTCTAGTGCAACCAACTATAAAAAGAGACCCAACCGTCCCCCCCTAACATACGAGTATATTGCTCACTGTCTAGCGGGGATTGAGTTTTATCGCCATTGTTTCCAACATAAAAACTTGTAAAGAACGGGAGTTTGTTTTGCGTTAATAAAGCTTTCCGAACTCTCTGCATATCAAATATCTGATAGTCACATGAATATCGAATGTTACAGAACACGCAGCAGGTTTATGTCGCTTCAGGACAATTCTGATCTTGCCTTCGACAGTTACAACTTGCAAAGCGCCTCCACGCGCAAGTCAATGGAAGTGCGCCGCTAAAGTTGCCTGGTATGCGTTCGGTAATGCCTGTGAGATGCATCCAAACTAATGCGATACGCGTTTTAGTCTCGGGGTCTGTGTGAATCAGACCGCGCATATATTTCATTGTTCTAAGCAACTGCATTCTATACTCAAAGTAACCAGAGGATCCATTTTATTGTCCCCAAAAGAGACCACCTGACTGGTAAGTGATCAGCAACGGAGGTCGCTCTTCCCGCAGACACTTGGCATTGGGAAGGGCTCTTCCAGTGATGTCTTTTCAACCAGAGTGAAGTGCAGGCGGCTGCAGTGCCAGAGGGATGCCTCAAGATCACTAGAGAGGAAGAGGACCGATACGTCCTACTTCCCCTCTGGTCTCTGCCAAAGCCTCTGTTTTGACCTGAGGCTGTATGGCCTGGGGGAGGCCAACGTCAAAATTCCAAGCAGATGTCTGGAACACGCGGGCTGATTGGAAGTGTTCCTCCAGAAACCAAGTTAAACTGTCCTACTTACTTGTGGAGGGGCCGTTACTATCCTCAGCTTATCAACTACTGCTGATAAGTTGACATCAAAGCTCATTTCTAAGGAGTTATTAAAAGGAGAACTATGAGAGGGGGAGGGGGGTGCTTTTCACTCACCTCATAGTTCTAGCCGACCTGTTACAATGAGACTGTCACAGGTCGGCTCAGTAGATCGGGAGGTGAGCGAACACATACCGGCGTTCGCTCACCTCTCGATCCTGTCACGGCTCTCTGCCGTGACAGGGGAGGGGCTGGATTACCCCCTCCAATCCGCCAGCCCTGACTGGCGGAACGGACGGGGGAGGGTACAGCTGGCTCTGCCTCTAGATAGGCAGATCCAGCTGTCAGTCATGCAGCTGGGCGGATCCCGGCACAATTGTCGGGATCCGCTTCAGCTGCGGCGTCTCAGTATACCGCAGCGTCTCAGTATACCGCGAGCTACAGCTTGCGGTGTACTAAGCCTAGGGTGACGGGAGGACGCTAGTTTGTGTCCTCCCGTTACCCTAAGGAGAACTATGGGGAAAAGCCTTAACCCCATAGTTCTCCTTTAAAGGAGAACGTGTCCAGCATAGCCGTGATTATGTGCCCACCTTTAGGCGATCCCTAAAAACTCCTCTCTTCAGGGAAGCCTACCTCATCTCAACATAACTGCCTTTTACTTCCTCCAATAACTCAATCCAAACAATTATTACCTTTTGTATCACTTGCCCCTCCTACTAGATTGTAAGCTCCCACGAGCAGGGCCCTCCCAACCCCTATTGTATTGTAACTATAATGTCTCCACTATATTGTAAAGCGCTGCACAAATTGTTGGCGCTATATAAATCCTGTATAATAGTAATAATGTGCAACTGCAGCTTATAAATCTAATCCACAAACAAACAAAAAAACACCCTACAAATGACTACTGTACCCCTATAGAATGAAGGACGAGGGCAGCCAAACCTTGCCCTCCAGCTGTGGTGAAACTACAAATCCTATGAGGCATTGTAAGACTGATAGACACAGCTATGACTTCCAGAGAGAGAGAGGCATGATGGGATTTGTAATTTCACCACAGCTGAAGGGCCACAGATTGGCAAACCCCCTATTCAGAGGAGATACCTCTTGAGACTATTAGAGAGAGACAAATGGATAAAGCACTGGCAGGGAGCAAAACTTCCTGAGGTTGTAGCACTGAATTCCTGCAATACAGTGATATCACAAAGGCGAAGCGTTGTGGATCCAGTGGTCCCGAGAGGCATTTTTGATTATTTATATATAGAGGGGGGAAGGGACGGTTCAAACTGGTAATGTAAAATATTTCCCCTTGGTTGGATGTAGCAATTCCACCACCATCCGGTCTCTCTAGGCTTGGCTGATTTCAGATAGGGGATCGGACGTCACAAAGCCCTCTACTCTATATAAGTGCGGGTTCAGGATTAGTTCATCGCTTACAGCTCCCTGTGTGAGGTTCAAAGTGTGTAAGGTCCCATGTAGACCTATGCGGTCTGTCAATGCATGAGGGTCAATGCGTGGAATGGTCAGAGATTGCACAATGCCTTTCATTCCCACCACAGGGCATGGAGGTGCGTGCTACCAGTGGCGTTCCAACTCTTCCCCAATCAAATTATATAAAACAAAAGTTTTCGGAGCTCCGTTTCCCTGTAATCTGGAGAACCTGTTTAAAGCGGGTCCCGATCAAAAAAAAGAAAGAGTTGGGAGTTCAATGCCCTGCGCTCCAGCCCATCGCTCTTCATCATTGACTCCTCTCTGGTCCTTACTGAGGCAGAGTGGTGCTGACGTGATGACATCAGCCCCGTTCTGTGCACCAGTACATTGTAAATTTCGGGCACCGTGCCAATACCTCAAGGTGCAGGGCCATGACACTCTGTGCTCACCGTAGAATCCTCAGTGTTCCAGTGTCACTCAACCTGGAAGACTGAGGACATCTTGTGGCCAAGAAGAGGTACTGCAGCTGAAAGCATTTTTTTACAGCACCTGTAAAGGACAAGTGGAACTGGCGGGATTTCGAGCTCCCAGCTCTTGCAACGGGCTCCCAGCTCTGTCTGGTGGCATGGCGACGTCACCCGTGCCTTCAAAGGGCGCATCAAGGGCTTTTAAAGCAATTTGTGTTGGCGGAATAGGGGCTGACAAAAATTTGGATCTTCCGTGTGCCATAGCAAAAGCCTATTGTGTGTAGAAAGCAGCTTCCAGGAATCTTCCTGGTCTGAACTCAGACGGCGAACGATGAACAGGGGCGTCTTCCTGGATACTTCGGTACACATTTCGGCGGAGTCTTCGTGGGGCAAAACACTGAAATCGCATGAGACAAAACAGGAACACGCATGACACGCCATAATCCCGCGTGTAAAAGGAAGTTCATTCACAGTAAACGTTTAATAATCTCCAGGATTATCAAGTAGGAAATTCTCCCGTGCGGCCTGAACATGGCTCAGGTCACATTGGAAGGGGAGCCGCTCAGCCCTGCAACCCAAATCACTATGTCAATGAAATGTGAATGGTGATTAGTGATGTCATCAGCTTCATGCTACAAAGGCAGAGAAACTGCAACAGATTCACTCGCTGGGCGACTGCACCCCAACCCCCCCCC